AAAAAAAAAAAAAAAAAATCTATGAATTATATATAGCTTAGTGCTTGAAAAAGTCGAGGCAATTCAGTTATGTTATTTTCAATCTTTTTCTCTAAGGCTGGATCTAAGGATGCCCAAGGGCCCATACTATGTTGTATTGTAGTTAGGGTAATTATCTCCCTTCTCCTTTGGCAACTAAAAGCAATTTTTCAGTATTTTATTTCCACAAAAGGAACCCTCACAAAAGCTGTCCAACAGGCTAGAAACCATCAACTGATAATCAGAAAAACACAACCTTGTCATTTTACTCTGATACCCAACACCATTAGTAATTTAAGGGCCTTGAACAAAAGCTACTGTTTAAAATGTTCAGATCTAGTTTGATAATAACAATAAGCTTGTCTTCTGGATGGTTAACAACCTAAGTTTGCAGACCAAAATTAGAGAAAAAGGAGGGCTACAAGGAAAGCCAACATTCTGGCCCTAGCCTTCTAAGGTCAATTAAGACTCAGGACATATGAGAACTTGTACTGTAACGTCATGTACCTCGGTAGTGTCCCAAATTTTCTGATCAAGAAGATTATGGGGCCAAAGAGGAAAGTGATCGATGATGTAGAGTGTGCCTAAGGAGAGTCACATGGGGAGAAGACACTCTCTCAGGCTTTCACAGAGAGCACGTTGGCCAAGCATTGGCCGTGACTCATCCACATGGCTGCCGCTGACAAAGGTTCTATAATCTGAGGTACAGGATCTCAGGATAAATACTGAGGGCATTTCACTGACCTTCTCAGACCAAAAAGCTACAACTCTTGTTGCACAGGTCCTGCTTTACCTTGGTCTTAACCATCCAGTAGAAAAGTATGAAGATGAAATATAGGAAGTAAAGCCATGTTGTTATGTTGAGCTGTGGGGGACTCAGGTCAATAATTTCTTGACATTGCCAGTTAAACAGAAGACCCAATGCTATTGTGGGCTACTGGACTCTTTTAGAATGTTTTGCTGAGTTTACACACCTATAATATTCAACAATAGAACTTAAAAAAATTGGGATATAACTATGAATGTCCATTTTGTATCTGTGTATTCAAAGTGGTTGGGATAGATATATAGTTGCATTCTCTTAATGAATAGAATGATTTGTTCTAATGGTGTTTGTAAGTAGGATCACAAGTCTGCATCTTGTACATCAATTAACCACTAAGAAGAATATATGCAGTGTATTATTTGTTGAAACTGTACTTTCGATTTGATTTGAAACTGTCTCATTGCTATATGTTTATCAATAAAACTTTGAAAAGAAAAGAAAAAAAAATGTTCAGATCTAATTATTCTGACCAAATTGGGATTAGAGCATCCAAAAAAATCATGATCTGTAAAAATCCTTAAGTTCATGCTAAAATAAATAAGTAGCCAGATGAAGTAGGGCAGGGAGAGGAGAAAAGCTCTTTTGTACAGAAGAATGTCTCTCTGACGGAGAGAGGGAGAGAGACAGAGAGAGGGAGAGAGATCAAAACAGAAATATGGATCTGAGACTCATCAGTATACAGGTAATTGTTAGAGCTCTGTGAGGACTTGGGAATGGCCACAGAGAACTTACAGATAAGTGGCTCTCAACCTCCAGGGGATCTTTTTGATGTCAAAACTGGAGTGGAGGTGGAGGTGGGGCAGTGGGTGTTAGGATATACAGTGGAGAACCAGGGATGCTGCTCGACAACACTGCCAGAGAGCCTCACAACAATGAATTATCTGGCTCACAGTTCAATAGTAGTGAAGTTGTGAAATCCTGTTAAGAAGAAAATCAGAATGAAGGAAAAGCAATACTCAAAAAACACCCACAAGAAGGGTCAGCCAAATAGCTCAGCATATTAAAGCGCCTGCAAACAGGAGCAGGAGCCAGGGGTTCGATTCCCAGGCTTGCCATACCCCCAGGGGGCGCTGAGACAGCAATTGAGACTGGGCATGGTGGCGCAAACCCATTAATCCCAGCTCTTGGGAGACTGTAAACAGGCAAATCACTCGAGTCCAATCTAGTAGTGAGACCCTGTAGATCCTTCCCTAAAATACAAAAATTTAAAAAATTAAAAAAAAAACAAACCACACATACGCACAAGAAAGGACAAGTCAGAGATGCAGTTATGTGGCTCAGTGGTATTGTGCATGCTTTAACATGCACAAGCTCTGGAGTCAAGCTCTAGCAACCCACCCCACACTCTCCCAAAGAGGAAGGAAAAAAGTACATATAAATCAAGAAAATATACTGTTATGGATACCAGAGCAGTTTGAAATTTCAAGAAGAAAAAGACCAAACGAGTTGAATTCTGACTGGATTTGCTTTGTAAGGATTTTCTTTTTCTTTTTTTTCTTTCTTTTTTTTTTTTTTGCAGAACTGGGGATTGTACTCAGGCCCTTGCACTTGCTCTATCTCCCTGGCCCCTAATTTCCATATATTTGCTAGGCTTGTCATTAGAAAGTAAGCAGGGTTTTAGTGAAAGGAGAACCAGATTATAGTAATTAAATGAGAAAGTATATAACGTAAATGTAGCTATCTCAATAAACTTTATTGAAAAGGAAAAGATAGATTAGGCAGCAATTAGAGCAATGATTCTCAAGTCTGGTGACAAAGCTTTTAAAAATTATCAATGCCCAGATCTCACACAAGACTAACTTAAATCATAGTCCCTAGAATGGGGTCCAGGTAGCAGTATTTTTTAAAGTATCTTCAGTAACATTATTGTATAACCATGTTTGAAAATTATAAAACTAAAGATTAAAAGGGCAGACAATAGGCATACAAGGAGGGGAGGAAGCAGAAAGAGGAAAATGAGACAAAAATCTCGGAAGAGATAGGTAATGAATGGATCAGGAACATAACATGACCTGATGGGCTTGCTTTGAAAAAAAGAAAGAATACTTCACCTAAGAAGAATGGATGGAGAAATAAATGTTAACAATTGAAGCGGGGCACAGCAATTTGAGTTTACACCAAAGGTCCCCATTTTCATAAAGAAGATAAATGGACTGCTGATATCAGCATCTAGACAGTGAAATTTGGTGAAAATTTAAAATATTTCTCGAGCAAATGCAAAACAAAAGACTAATCAAAAGCACTGACAACCTAACAGATTAAATATACTATTTGTAGGGACATCAAATGAATGTATTTATGAGATTTTCTGCTTGTGGGGCTTAAACGACCTCTACCAGAGAAGTAAGGAAAAGTGAACCATAATAGTGATCCAAAATTTCTGTTTTAGTGGGTGGGAGAGGAGAAAAAATGTCCAGGAGTTTAGATCAACAGCTAAGAGACTGTATCTTGCATCCTGAGTAACTAATTAAAAGATAACAATTTAGGGCTGGGGAGACAGCTCAGTAGAATAAGCGCTTGCCTGGCAAATAAAACGACCTGAGTTCAATCCCCAGTTCCACAAAAACAAAAAAACAAACAAAAAAAAGATAACAATTTAAAGATAACAATATGAAATGTATCAACCATTTGTCACCCTATTATTTTCTTTGGAAATTTGAGGGGTTTTTTCTTTAAAATTTTAAAAAACAAAAACAAAGTTAAGAGGCTCAACTACTTGGTTTCAAATGAAGAAGGGAACATAATCTATAAGTAGTTTAGCTGGTGTGGGACACAGTGGATTTACGTCTGGGCTCCTAAAGCTATTAAAATATTCTAAGATTTCAGATTTTTATCCTACTTGATCCAATAAAGTATATTCCTTCTATATTGTACACATCCTAAAAAGGAATATCTCTAGCTGATTGGAAGCACAAAACTGAAGATGACAGAAACATACTTGGAAAGCTATGTGCTACAGCAAGTATTGTAAATGTTAGCAGTATTCTGGGAGGGGGGGAGACTGTAGGTTCTAGAACATGACTGACCAACAGAACTTCCTGAGATGATGGAAATGTTCTATAATCTGTGCTATCAAATATGGTAACTACTGGTTATATGGGGCCTTTGAATCCTTAAAATGTGGCAAGTGGAAGGGAGGAATTTCAAACTCTATTAACTTTTAATTAATGTAAAATAACATAGCTACACATGCCTAGTAGCCACCATATCTGAGAGTATACCACTATATTCATGTGGCAGCAAGTTAAAGAACCCTAGGACTCATCAATGGCTGTTACTTTAGTTCTCTGAGTCTTAGTTTATTCCTGTGTAACAGAGATGGCAAACTTACAGTATGTGTGCTACTGTGGGCTATTTGTCATCAATGAAAGCTCTAAAAGGTTCACCATCACTGTATTAGGTGCAAATCGCAATAGCATCCACTTCCTCACACAGATTAAATGAAATTAAGCATGATACACAGTACTGCACCAACAGCAAACATTGAAAATTATTGCTTCCAAATGTATCCATGAAATTAAAAACTATGATTTCTTTTTCTCTATTTCATCCCCTGTGCACAGTATAGTGCCCCATGCATGAAAAGTCACTTAACAGATCTGAAAAAGAACAGATCTTTGAGTCCTAATGTTATTCAATATACTTTATATATATGTTTTTCAGTATCTTCTAAAATTTTTATAAACATCATATATTTTAATCTGAGAGCTTAGTAAAAAAATATTAACCAGAAACCTGTAATACTAGTTTTCATCACTCTATAGCTTATTAACATTGATTAACTGATACTACAGTACAGATAATCAATTTGTCTTCATTTCTATCCTGTCTACATTCCTTCTTGCCCACAAAGAGAGTATGTATCAGGACCTTATAAAGATCAGATTATGTCCATATGGCCTTCATTGAAACTCCATTTAAAGGGGCTGGTGAGATGGCTCAGTGGTCTAAAGCACCTACTTAGAACAAGCTTAGCAAAGCACAGGGACCACGGTTCAATCCCCCAGCACCACATGCCAGCCAGCCCTGCCCTGATGGGCTGAGCTGGCCACACACACACACACACACACACACACACACACACACACACACAAATAAATAAATTTTTTAAAAAAAGAAAGAAACTCCATTTAAAGAGAACTTAAAAGCAACTCACCCTTCAATAGCTGGAGATCTATCAGGACGAGTACTTCCTCGAGACCGGTATCTCCGAGTCATTGGCAACCTTGGAGGCCGACTTGGTCCCCAGAAGTCAGTATGAGTTTGGTGACCTCTGTCATTGGCTCTGTTATCTTGGTCCAGTGGATTGCTACTCAGAAATGGTCTAAAATCTTGGAAAAACATTGTTTGATCCAAATGGTCCCACAGCTAGTAAAAAACAGAAGTCAATCACATTAGGAAAATGAACAAATAATGAAAGGAAGAATAATTTTTAACATTTCAAAATTCAACAGCTCCAAAATAATAAGGTATGCTTCCCCAACTTCATGAGAGAGTAGAGAGAAATCTTCAAAGTTCACAAAATTTAGGGGGTAAATGTAAAAACTGAGAAAATTAATTTTCTTGATATAAAAGTAAACAAGCCAATAGCTGGCCGCATTCCTTAACACTTAGTTCATATCTACATGTCTCTGACTAGTTTACCCTTCAGAAATATAAATGAGCCAGAGGTTATCACATGCTTTTGTCCTAAGCATGATCAACCATTCAGAATAACATATTTTTTTTCATCTTTTAGCAGAATAATATTACACTCATGTTGTGTCACAAACAACACTACATTCCTGCCAAGATCTAAGCATGTTAAAGTTGTACCACAGCAGTGTAGAGTCTGTCTGACAGGAGCATTCTGTGGTACATACTGTATTTTTATTACTAAAATGGGGTGAGTCTGGGGGGTATGAATCATTATATAAAGGGAACTGGGGGAAAAAGACCTTAAAATAATGTTTTATTTTTCTATATACTAGGTATCTCAAAAGAGCTAGAGAATAATATTTGACATACTCCATCCATCAAGTATATAACCAGTTACATTGATTTGTTTGCTTCCAAGTTTCTTTTCATTTTTTTTTTGGGGGGGGGGGGGGGGGGCCGCGCCAACCCTGGGGGCGGGGCTGGCACAGCACGTGGTGCCAGGGATCAGACTGTGGTTCCTGTGCTTTGCCTAAGCTTGCCTAAGCAGGCACTTTAAACCACTGAGCTATCTTGCTGGCCCTGCTTTCAAGTTTCAAGTCAAACAGAAAAGTTTATTACCGTATGTCTATCTTAACTCTACTAATTACTTGCTCAATCAACTCTAAAAGTTCTAGACTTTCAAGTTTTCCAGTGTTTACAGTTTGCTTCTAATTTTCAAAATGTTTCTTCCCTTCTTAAAAATACAAAATGTATGTTATAGAAATATAAATCCAGAATATAAAATATAATATGCAATAGTCTCCATTTACTTAGCTGTGATCAATCTCTACTTCTAACTATTCCTGTACTAGAGGTTACTTTGGGATGCAGGATTCCAGATCTTTAAATATTTCTGTTTGTGTCTGTGTATAATTTTATGTATTTATGCACATGTATGCACATTATACATACATGCACTCAGGTTCTTCTTTTTTAAAGTCACACTACTTCGACACACATTTATTCGTTCAACAAATAATTCTTATGCCTGTACTTACCATGTTTTATTTACTTTTTGGGAGCTGCTAGATTCTAACAGTGAACAAAACATTTTAAAAAGAAAAGAAAAGAAAAAGAATCATCTGCTCCAATAGATTTTATTCGCTAGTGAGAAGAGACACACACCCATTCACCCCCCAAGAAAAGGAAAAGAAAACTATATGAGATGGCAGCTAACGATAACTAGAAAGAAGGAAGAAAACAGAGCTTGTACTACCTAAAGAGTTATTACTATTGTTTTCAACAGTAGATAGCCTAGGTGCTTTCTATTTTATATACTATTTAAAATTATTATAATATATCACATTGATGCATGAAAAAGACACAACAGTTAGGCTGTGTTAATGTATCACAGCAGCCTAGGAATGTCAGATAAGAGTGGTCTGTTGTGAGGGCCAGCCAAATAGTTCAGCAGATTAAAGTACCTGCTTAGGCAGACGTAGCAGCCCGGGGTCCCCCATGTGCTGTGCTGGCCCCACTCCCAGAGTGCACTGAGACAGCCACTGAGACTGCGTGTGGTGTTGCGAGCACCTGTAATCCCAGCTCTTTGGGAAGCTGAACACAGGTGGATCACTACAAGTCCAATCTACGTAGTGAGACCCTACAGATCCTCACTGAAAAAAAAAAAAAAAAAAAGTGTTCTATTGTATATATTTTTATCACTAAAATGGGGTACAATGGTTTGGTAGAACAATCCACCTACAATCCCAATTACCGGGGAAGCTAAAGCAGGAGGATTCCAAATTCAAGGACAAGGTACTGAATCCCTGCCTCAACATATAAAAGTGTTAGCAATGTAGTTCAGTGGTAGAACACTTGCCTAGCATGCAAAGCTCTAGGTTCAATCCCCTGTACAAGGGCAGAGGTGAGAGGAAACACACACATAATGAATAAGGTATAAGGAAACAAAACATGTTCATCTCTTGCATCACCAAAGTTATGGTAATTCTTTGTGCATCCCTCCCTTAACTCCCAAAGCAATCACTACCTTAATTTTTTTCATTCCATGGGGTTTTTAAAAAATATTTTCTATAAATGTCTATATCACCAAACAAATGTCCGTCCCTTATGAATTTCTCTGGCACTTGCTGTTTTTGCTCCACATATTGATGCATATAGCTATTATCCACTTATCTTCACATATTTTATGCCATACTTTTCAAAAACCATTTCTCATATTCAATGAACATCTACATTTTTTGGATTATTTCCCATTTTTGCTATTTAAAAAGGCAGCTGTGATGATTATGTGTCTCCTTATGAGAGTTTATCTCTTTCTGCAGTACCAGGGATTGAACCCAGGGTCTTTGCACTATATTTCCACTCCTTTTTGGTATTTATACAACTACTGTAGGATGGAGGAGATAGCTCACTAGAATAAGCACCTGCCTGGCCAGTGCAAGGTCCCGAGTTCAATCCCTGATACCAAAAACAAAACAAAACAAAAAACCGAACTACTATATGGTCTATATATTTTCAACTTTACTAAACTGTTTCCCGAGGACCAGCCAAATAGCACAGCAGTTTAAGCACCAGGGGCCAGGGATTTGATCCTCCAGCCTGCCGTGCCAGCCCCACCCCCGAGGCACACTGAGACAGCAATTGAGACTGGGTATGGAGGCGCGCACCTGTAATCCTAGCTCTTGGGAGGCTGTAAACAGGCAGATCACTCCAAGTATGATCTAGTAGTGAGACCCTGAACACCCTGTACCCTTCCCTAAGATACTAATACTAAAACAAAAACAAATTGTTCTCCAAAATGGTATAATCAACCTGACAATGCTTAGAAGTTTCTAATATATCACATCCTAACAAGTACTTGATGTCACAGGACTATTTGTTTCCTCCACTTTTTAACAATTTAGTGGGTTTTTTATCTTTGGTGTTCAAGAACAGGAGAGTTTATTTAAAATGCATATTTTTTAGCCTTATGGCAGAAAGTAAATTTAATGACTGTAGTTTGTAGTGAACCTGAAAAGACTGTTGTTACTATTTCTTGTAGGGCAAATTTGTTAGTAAGAAATTCTCTCAGCTCTTGTTTAGCTGAGTATGTCTTGACTTCTCCTTCATTCCTGAAGTAGATTTGCCAAACCTTGAATTTTTGGTTGGCAAATTTTCCTTTCTTCTTTCAGCTAAATGTTTGCTTAGCTATAGTGATATCTTCCAGTGTCCTGATAAGCTTGATTTTGATACCTTTTGTCAAGTTTTCTGATGCTTTTTTTCCTGCCATTACTCTTTCATTATAGTTTTTGGTTTTTTTTTTTTTTTTTTTTTTTTTTTTTTAATGTATTTGCTACAGGGTCTCACTATGCAGCTTTAACTCATAATGATCCTCCTGTTTTCAGCCTCCCCAGTATTGAGATTACAGGGGTGTGCCACCATGCCCTGTCTCCATGGCTGGCACAGCATGTGGTTCTGGGGATTGAATCCCAGGCCCTGAGCTTGCCTAAGCAGGCACTTAGTCCACTGAGCTATCTCACCATCCTTTGTTTTTTTTTTTCTTAATTTTCACCATCCCTTTTCATTGTAGCTTTAAGTTAGTTTTTTCTGGCATTGATAAGAGTAAGTATCTTTGCAAATTCAGTCACTTATATTTTTTCTCTTTTATGTTTCTTCTCTACTTTCTTACAGAATGGACTTTCTAACTGAGCTAGTAGTTCTTCATATATTCTGCATATTAACCTTTAGTCAGTTGCATGCATTTGAAGTATATTTTCCCAACTGTGACTCATTTAAAAATATTTTTCAGAGATGCTTAAAATTTAATTTTAACATCTTATGGTCTTAAATTCTTTCCCAAAACAAAGCCACAGGAAAAGTTGTCTACAACCAGGCATAGTGGCACACACCTATAATCCCAACACTCAAAAGGCTGAGGCTAGAGTAGTCCCACAAGTTCAAGGCCAGCCTAGGCTACATAATGACTTCAAGGCCAGCCTGAACTATACAGTGAGACCATATCTCAAAAATAAAAAATCTCTAGTAAGGGATGGAGATTTAGCTCACTTATATAGCATATACCTAGTATGCACAGGGCCTTGATTCAATGCCCCCACAAAATAAATAAAAACTTTTATCTTTTCTTCAGTTAAATTTTAGGGCTTTGTCTTACACATCAGTCTTCAATATATTAATTTTTTTGTAAGGCTTTACATAGGAATCTGACTTGTTTTCAACACAAAAAACTGACTGTCCTAACATCTTTTATTAAATTATGTCTTTTATTGCTCATCTTCAGTGCCATTATCATATCAAATTTGTAAACATACAAATTTTGTGGCTATTAAGTCTGTTGACCTTTACAGACACCATAGTCATAATTACTATAAACTTTATAACTTGTTTTGACACGTCACACATCAAGTCTCCAAGAGTGTCACGGTCATTTTGGAATTTTCACCTTTTTAAAAAATTTTGAGCCAGCAAGATAGCTCAGCAGACTAAGCACCTGCTTTGGCAAGTTCAGGGACCAGGGTTTGATCCCCAGTCCTGCATGCCATGCCAGTCCCACCCCTAGGAGCACTGAACTGGTGACATAGTTCAGGCATGGTGGCACATGCCCATAATACCAGCACAGGGGAGGCTGAAAACAGGAGTCCGAGCTGTAGTGAGACCCTATATCAAATACATAAAAAAAGAAAAAAATCCTTTTCTTTTTTCTTTTGTACCAGGAATAGAACTCAGGACTTACT